ACTGCACTTCTGAGAAGATCTGTGAACTCCAGGGCACTGTCTATTTGATTCAATGTGGAGGATATGAAGAAAAGTACGTGGGGGAGACCGCGAGACCACTGAAGAATCGTCTGGATGAACATAGAAGAGCGTTGGCCAATCCCGCTGCCTATCCACACAGCAGTTTTCCAGGCACCGTACACTTAGGCATAAGAAAGAAAACGCTCCATCCTTCGATGTGAGGGTTTTGCACAGATATTTGGTACGGCCACTGGAAAGGAAATTCATTTAGGCACGGGAAATATACCGCATCAAGCCGGAAATCGATGCGAAAGAGGAGTTGCATGACCTGCTGAGACTGATTACGTGATAACACATAGTCACCTCAGAACAAGAGCGGCGTCCATTTTCCCTTCAAGATCCCCGCCGACAGGTCCATTCCCCCTTTCCCCCAATATTTCCGGTTGACTTGGTATGATTCGATGTGTTTTGTATTGTAACTGATCGTAACTGATTGTATGCAGCAATATATTGTAAGTAGTTAAGGTCTGACGAAGGCATTATATGCCGAAAGCTCACCAATAAAAGTGAAGAGCATAGAGCTTCGAAAAGTACACAAACGACAAGATATAAAAATTTCATTTTTTACTGTAAGATTTTGAAATTTGGCTTGACTTTATGGAAATTGTGTTTCAGTTTCTGGTGTTTTGTCGATGTACTTTTTGCACTTTTGCCTTTTGCACACGTAATAAACCTATACCTATGCCAACAAATAACTAACCACCTTTTACTCGCAACATTGCTGTTATTTCTGATGTCAACAATGTCTCCGTCATTCATATAAAACAATTTGAGCTACACACGCTAAGTTGAGCATCGCAACAAAAGAATTTTGTTTGAATAAGGACGCTCAAAGAGAAGGTGTACTGAAGAGTCTGAGGCCCGAAATGCCCTGAGGTAGTGAGTCTTCGCGTACGCAATAATCATGGATGGCAACTTTGCTCCGCTCAAATAAGCGCTCATATGGTTCTGCGGTTGAACCCGTTTTGATAGAGTCAGTAACGAAAAGCAGTCTCAAAGAATAAATGTCAAGGGCGATGAAGAAGGCCGAAACCAAATTAGCGTCAGAGGATACCGTAGAAAGAAGTAAGTGGAGACGATTCACAAGAATAGCGGGCCCTACGACGGCGCAAGATCAAAGCTAGACTGATGAAAAGATTGAAGCAGCTCACAAAAACTACATGCAATCCACAAATTCTTTCTCGCTCAACAGCACAAACGGGTGCCCAGAGCTATCTCTGATCTCTGGACGACACCCTGGCTTACGGAATGCTGCCGTAGTGACTAACTTACTACCATCGTTGAGTAGAAATAACAAAAAACTGCTCAATCAACTCACGTTGTACTGAACAAGACACATTGTTGACCAAAACTCCATCACCGATAATCCATTTACCGTCACGGTTGCATGAGAAATTCGTCAAGTGCGATCCAATACCAATAGCTACAGCAGTTTCTCCGTTTATGAATACGGTAGCGTTTTCATCAGCCTGAAACCAATGCGTTTACTCTGATTCCTCTTCGGTCCATGCTCAACCTTAATCGACATAGTAAACAATGCTAACTTGCAAAAATATTTGTAAAATGAAATGATCTCTTTTTCCAACGTTCCATATTAAAATCAGACACATGGGCCTCATTTTAACATTCTATGGTCTCTCAATCAGTACATCTGGGTGGAAGTTAGTACTCTGTCTCGATTTTTGTTTAGAAAAACATTTCACTATCTGTACTGGATGGAATTTCACTGAGGTATAACGATAATTTCGGAATATAGAAGAATTTATTCACCGCAGTGGGAACGCAATCCACTTTCACAACCCTGCATCCTTTGTTGTCAATTGTGTGATCGAGTACCAACATACCATCATAAGAATCAGGTCGGTTCATCAAAACCGCGGCCATGTTTCTGCACAGGTGACAGTTTCCTGGAAGCTCACTTCATTAGAGGGGTAGGATTGTCTAATTCAGATCAGCATAAAAGATTCCTTACCATGTAATGCCATCTGAATCTGTACGATATGTCATATGCTATGATGTTTTACTTACCTGGATCAACCGTTGTCCTAAACACTGTTGTTGAAAACGGCAAAGGTGCCCTGGTAGTTGTTATAACCGTTGTCGTAGACCCTACAGTCATCGGTGCTGACATGGTCGTCGTTGTGGACATCGTCTCTGGTAAAGTGGAAGCCGACGTAGCTGTAGTAAGTACAGTGGACTCATAAGTGTCCAACTCTGTTGTCTCAACTAAACGTTTCTGTTAAACCTTCTCTCACTATCATGCGAAGCAAAGTAACGTATAAAAGGCCCGTCTGACGATGTATTACAGTATGGTGA